TATATATATATATATATATATATATATATATATATATATATATATATATATATATATATATATATATATATATATTATAATTTTATAAAAATTATTTTTAAATTTAATTTTTTAAATATTTTTTATTAAAAAAATCATATCTTCCACCTAAATCTCTTCAAAAAAAAATATATCTCTTCAAAAAAAAAAGTAAATCGGTACATTATTTTGAAAATAAATATAAGATAAAAATATATAGAGAAAATTTTAAAAAAATCATAAAAATAATTTTAATATTTATTATATATATAATAATATATCAATTCATTATGAAACTAATGCATCAAAAAATTAATGATAATTCTTATACAATAAATAAAATCATGTATCAGTTACATACAACATATCTTGTTGACATACATAATGGTCAAATTAAAAAATATATATCATATTATGTACTTTTTCAATAATAAATAAAGAGACATACTCCATGGGATAAATTTTTCCCAATAGTTGATGGATAAAACTTATATTGCACTCTTAATAATGGATGAAATGGTATCACTCACTTGTTTAAGTGGGGATATGTTCCTCCAAATAATTGATGAAGAAATCGTCACGTTTGATAATCCGTTAATCCCCAAAAGAAATCGTCCTATCTGCTCTTAATATAAATTCATAGTCAACTATAACCATTCATTATATTCATTATGCATGTATCTAAGAAATAGTATAATAAAATATTATAAGAAATTATGCTTGATATATGATCTATTAGAGTATATCCATTTGTAGCTCAACATTATGATAAGCACTTAGCTTCTTTGACATGTTGTACTTCCAATATTAACCACTAGCATAATCACGTGATAACAATCATATCAATATTATAAACTTAAAAATTATAAAAAATCAATAATAATTTATAAATGACACCTTTAGATAAGATTTTTAAGTCAATTAAATTATAAAGATATAAGACATAAGTTTCTCAATAATCCTCAATCAATAAGAACCCTAATTGTAATAGTCTAATTGACTTAAACCAAACTCAATTTAATTATGATATAACATAACTAACCTCAAATCCTTATAGTATCGATCTAGAATCACTTTATACTTATCTAATTTAGATTTGATTAATTTCAATTAGGTCAAGTATGTTTAAATCAGTCAAATAAGACTGAAATCACTCTAAATCAACTTAAACTAATTAAATATGTATGATTCGATCAACTAACAAGCTTAAACCAATAAGAAAAAAGAAATTGGACTATGTTGCATAATGATAGTCCAAACCGAATCGACCCGGTCTTAAATGACTCATATGCATTGCACATGTCTACCCCAAATAACCGATTGGGTGGAGGTACAATAGGTTGAACTATTTACTTTCTAAAAATCACATTACTTATTAGAAAATAAATTAATTAATAATTTAATTAATTGATAAAATTTCTAATTTATTCATATAATTAAGAAAATCAATTTTAATCATTTCTTTAACCATACTACATAAATAAGATAGTTAATAATTTAAATAAAATGATATATTATTTATGATAATTAATTTATGTTAAGAAAGTTATCAACGATTATATTTCTCCCCCACTTAATAGAAATTTGGCTCCAAGATTTGATATGAAAAATGATATTAATTAACATAATTGGCACTTAAAATACTAAGTGAAAAGATAAGTCTAAATCACTTAAAATTATTTAGATATAAATGTGCCACTTAAAAACTTTAAGTCAAAAGATGTATTTTTTTATTTTTTCAATATAAAATATATGAGAAACTGAGGAAACTTATTTAATAAATTTGGTTTTAGATTACCATAACAAGCATATAAAATTATATATCCAATAAATCATTAAAAGTTTTAAACTTTAAAAATAATTGATTATTAACATAAAATATAAGTTAAGGCTACATGTGTTACTCAACAAACGAAAGCAATTGAAAGGATAAAAAATTATCCAACTATTCAACATATATTCTTTTATAATTTTAAATAATTTATATATTATATGTGTTAAAAAATAATGTTATATTTAATTCTAATTAAATCTCATCATTATAGTAGATAAATAATATTTAATAATTAATTTATCACTTCTTAAATCAAAACTCTATTCAAATTAGTTACACATATAATTAAGTTTAAATATCAATACATATCAAATTTATTCAACTACAAAAGCACACAAATTATTAATGTTTAAAATAACTTCTACATACCATCCTAACACATGTCAAATCTAATATCAATTTTAAGAATAATATATGATAACAAAAATTATAAGGGTAAATACTTTTCAATTTATATATTTTTGAAAGATTTAATCTTTAGTTAGTAAAACTAGATATGTTAACCATAAATATTTATAACAATGTAAGACAAAGGTGAGGAAGATAATCAACTATAAAGAAACCACACAATAAGTAACAAATATTTTTTATATATTTTTATTAAATTTATTCTATTTATAATTATGGACAAGAATTATATTCAAGGCAACAATATTCAGAAAGTAATATGTCAAATTATAATACAAATTCTGTTAAATTTTATTCTGTGAAATTTATTTTAAATTCAGAATGAAAATTATATAAATAAATTTTAGGTCCTCAACGTGAATAAGTTATGGCCGAACTAAGAAAATGCTATAAGACACATCAAATAAACTTAATTTTTTTAGTAAAATAAAATTTTAAATATTACATAGTGAACATAAGCATCATATAATAGTTCTAGTCAGGTTAACAAATTATTTTTAAAAAAATATTAGATATAAATCTAATATTTACATCTTCAAGAATAACTAAGTAAGTTAAATTTTGTTTATTTATTATAAAAATATCTATAAAAAAATCGTACATTCTATAATCAAATTAGCAACTCTTATCTACTTTTCAAAAAATGGATAAGAGTGTCATGACAAAATTATATTTAAAATGTAAAAATTTATGAGTGTTTTTATGATAAAATATTACAATACTTATTATAATTTAGAAAAAATATACTAAAATTTTGGCCTCTTGCTAAATAATCTCAGTTCAAGTCATTTAATGAGACTCTCCTTAGTAACATCTTAGTTAATTATTTTTTATAAAAAAATATATTTGCCTCAATAAAATGACCATATTCTCTTAAAATTATTATTATATAAATTCAAAATCTAAATCTCAAAACTAATTGAGTTATCTAATATTCTAATTGCTGTTAGGATCGAGAGCACTAAGAGGGGGGGGGGGGGGGGGTGAATTAGTGCAGCGAAAATTTTACAGCGATTAAAACCCAAAGCTGC